TTTCAAAGGGAAGTACGCTCAATCCACTGGCCGGACCCAATGACTGGAGTCTAGATTCATGACATCCTCTGGGGGTCTTTTTTTTTTTTTGTCTGAGTCCTCTGGTCCATATTACAGCTAAATAATGGAAATGCTGCTAAATAATGTACATATCACTGAAGCAAGGAGGTCTCAGAGCGGCATTTATCCACACTCCTCCTTTCTCCACCTTTAACATTAACACCATCACTATTTTTCATCTTTAGCATGCCCTTCTGCAGAGGCACTCAATAATGTACCCATTGTGCAAGTAATCTAAAATCCTTTTCGGCAAGCAATAGTATTTAGTAGTAATAAAACACTAATTTGTCCACCAAGTGACATATTTATAGGAGCTGTTTACTTTGACATATTTTTATTATTTCTACCCATTTGCTAAGTACTTTCCAATACATATTTATGAAGCACATGCCTTTCCCCAAACACTAGTGAAAAAATAAATCATATTATTTCTTTTATTAGTAGCAGCATGGCTTGTCAGTGCTAGTGCCCAGACTTTTGTTACTTCTGGCACGAGCTGAAAGAATTAATGGTGATTGAGCACCTACTATGTGCCATACTTTCTGTGAGAGGCACTTTACATAAATTACCTGTTAAGTTCCCCTGAGACATATAATTTTACCAGTTAGGAAAATATAATTCCACTGCAGCATAGATTTTACCAATGAGACAGAGACATTACCTGGTCCAAGTAATTTGGCCAGAAAGCATTTTGAACCTCGTTCTTTTCCTTATCCCAAACCCCAAATCATCATTCCATTTCACCAGCCCCCTCTTAACTTCTCTGAACCTATTATGTAAAATATAAAGAATTCCTTTCTGAAAGAGGCTGTGTAGACTCCCTTAGAATGGAACAGAGATAAATAGACACAAGATGCTAATCCCAATTTTTCTACAAGAGGTAACTCTCTAAGGGAGTTATTCCCTAAGCAATCAGTGGTAGGGTATTTTCCAAATAGAAGGGCCAATACAAGATTTCTACTCATTCCTGGAGACAGGACTGGTTACAGAGTTTGCAGGGCACAGTACGAAATATGGGACCCTTGTTCAAAAAGTATTAAGAATTTCAGGATGGGGGCACCTGGGTGGCTCTGTGGGTTGAAGCCTCTGCCTTCGGCTCAGGTCATGATCCCAGGGTCCTGGGATCGAGCCCCACATGGGGCTCTCTGCTCAGCAGGGAGCTTGCTTCCCTTCCTCTCCCTCTGCCTGCCTCTCTGTCTGCTTGTGATCTCTGTCTGTCAAATAAATAAATTAATTAATAAAAAAAAAAGAATTTCAGGATGGCAACAGTAGAGAACTAAAGTAAGCACAGACTCTGTGTAACTGCACTGGTCACACTACCATGAAGCTGGCCTTGCCTGGACAGAAGCAAGCTGTCACGAGTACTTTCCAGGCATCGAAGCTTCACAGTCATATGAGATTAAGTTGTCATAGGACTGGAAAAGTATTTGCGGCTTTACATAAGCTATATGACTCTAAAGCAATTCTATCCATCAGGCATTATTATTTTTAAAGATTTATTTATTTATCCTAGAGAAACAGGGGAAGGGCAGGGGGAGAGGGAGAGAGAGAATCTTCAAGCAGTCTTCCCGCTGAGCACAGTGCCCAATGCAGGACTTGATCCCACAACCCTGAGATCATATACCTGAGCCGAAATCAAGAGTCAGCCACTTCACTACTGAGCCACCCAGAAGCCCCTATGCAGTGAGCATTATCTTCCCCATTTCATGGTAGTTGAAACAGGCTTAAAGAGTCTAAGTGATTCATCCAATGACACCAAGTAAGTGTCAGAGCTAAGACTGAGTTAGTTGAAATATAAAAAAATTGTATTCCTTGGGGCGCCTGGGTGGCTCAGTCAGTTATGCATCTGCCTTTGGCTCAGGTCACAATCCCAGGGTCCTGGGATTGAGGCTTTCCTGGGGCTCCCCGCTGATCTCCCTCTAGCTCTGCTGCTCCCCCTGCTTGTGCTCTCTCACTCTCTCGCTCTCTCCCGCTCTCAAATAAATAAAATCTTTTAAAAAATTAAAAAATCTTGTTCCTTGATTTTGTATTATTTTCCACATGGGCCCATTGTCTTCTGGCAAAACCCAGGCTTCAGTTAAGGCTGTTACACGCAGAAACTGCAGGGGGGGGGGGGGCAGAGAGGGGCTAAGGTTCAAAGGTTATCAAGGCGCCAAACTAGTGCAGCCGCTGAAGTGCAGCTGTAGAGCTCCAGGACACACAGACCTTCCACCTTCCATTGACTGGGAGAGAGAGCTCTGTGCGTGGCCAAAGTCATGGCCAGTACCTGGCCTCCCTCTATAGGATAAGCAGGAGACACAGTGCAGTCTCTACCTTGATAAAAGGTAACTACAGGGAACCTGCAGAACCTTAATGATAAAATATTGGAAACAGCAGTCAGAACAATGGCCATGAGTGCTTCTATTTGACTTAGTATCTTAAGTTAGTCCAGCCAGTGCAATAAAAAAAGAAAAAAATGAGAAAAACACATTTTTGAGGGTAACCTTTTTTAAAGATTTTATTTATTTATTGGCGAGAAAGAGAAAGAGGGAGCATGAGGAAGGGGAGGGACAGAGGGATAGGAAGAAGCAGAACCCCTCTGAGCAGGGAGCTTGACTCGGGGATTAATCCCAGCACCCTGGGATCATGACCTGAGCTGAAGGCAGATGCCCAACCAACTGAGCCACTCAGGCACCCCCCGAGGGTAAGCTTTGATGAATGATATAACTAGCTCTACTTTAAACTCCATGCATCATAGACCCTTCTCCAATGCCCTTCCCCAAAATACCACATTGGACAGTATTAACTATCCATTACTATTCCATGCCAGAACACAGCAAAAACCTAGTAGGATATGCACATTTCTAAATCCCTTAGCTCCTCCTGGCTCACATCTCAGGAACCCATAGACCATTGTTTTTGTTGTTGTTTTGTTTGTTTTGACCATTTTTTTAAAAAGATTTTATTTAGAGTAGGGAGGAAGAGGAGAGGGAATGGGAGAAGCAGACTCCCAGCTGAGCAGGGAGCCCAATGACTCTGAGATCATGCCCTGAGCCGAAGGCATACGCTTAACTGACTGACCCATCGAGATGCCCCAACCATTATTTTTTATTCAGATTTATTTCCCCTAAACCTCCAGTTCACTTTATTTCTTTTAAAGTTTGTTTGTTTGTTTACTTATTTAAGCGATCTCTACACCCAGCATGGGACTCCAACCCATGACACCGAGATTAAGATGCATATGCTCTCCCAACTGAGCCAGCCAGGTACCCTCCAATTCACTTTAATACCAACGATATCTCCCTTCTCCATGTTATGTCACTCCCCTCATAAATTCCCTAGGAGAAATTGGAAAGAGCTGATAAAGTAGATCCCTGATCCAGCTTTTATGGTGAGCTGAGAAAAGGTCAAGATGTGTAGCCTTGGCTACTAGCTGGGCAAAACATAAAAGAGAATTTTATCAAGACAGTTACATATTAACAGCTGAAGACAGCATGAGGAAGGAAAGAAGTAGGGTTTTGAATGAGACAACTTGAGTTTGGATTCTGGTGCTGCCACTTATTAGCCTTGTGTCCTCAGCCTTACTAGACTCCTAAAGTCTATAAAATGGAATGATTTCCCATGCTACAAGGCTGTCCTAAGATCTAAATGAGACGCGTACAAAGGGCCTATGCACATGAAAGCCTTGATAAACTTGCCCTCTGGTCTATGGCAGACACTAGTGGTCGCCCACTTGATGTCCAATTCCTCCATACAACTCCCTCCTTTCTGGTAGCACCCCCATTTCCTTCCAATGGCCATAGCACAAACTTAAGGAAAGCCTATCCCCAGCCCCAGCTCCTGGGCTATTTTCTAGTTGAGCTGAGCCAATCACAGAGCAATTTCCCTTGCCAGGATTTAGATGTGGGTTCAAGAAGCAATTCTGCACTAATAAGATATGAGGTAAGTCTGCTTTGATTAGAAGCTGAGTTTTAATTTAAAGGGACACAAGAACCATGTTCCTGCCTGTAGACATTGTCATGTCTGGATTGATGCTCAGAATGGCTACACCCAGGCTTTAATGAGAATGAGCTTGAAGACAAAACCAACACAAAAGGAGAGCACAGCAGAAAAAGAAAGGGGGCTTTAAACCCCCTTCACACTGAGCCACTGAATGAGCCAACCTTGGACTTCAGGTAACTGGAGACAATGTCCTTATTGTTGAAGCCTCTAAGCCAGGTTTTTTTATTTGCAGCAGACAGCAGCCTCAATGACACATGGACCTTCTGCCTGAGAGTCTGTGGGAGTTCAGGTGCCTGACTTAGTCCTCAAGTGCTAGTCTGTAGTAGGGACCCAACATTAAATTTGTCTAATATCAGACCTGGGACATACAAGCGTCCTCTCTATAAAGACATAAAAAGAGACTTTGGGGACTTCATGACTATCTAGATCAGGAGAAAAACATTCCTGCATTCCTCCTTTGCCGTCTTTAAAATGCACGAAAGCCCACCCACTCATATAGTTAACCACTACTGAGCTCCCAGACTATGCAAAGAGCAAAAGAAAAATTGAAATGGGAGGTTCTTAAAATGGATCTTGAGCTTGGGTGCCTGGGTGGCTCAGTTGGTTAAGCATCTGCCTTTAGCTCAGATCATGATCCCAGGATCTTGGGATGGAGCCCCAAGTGGGGCTCCCTGTTAGGTGGGGAGTCACTTCTCCCTCTCCTTCTGCCCCTCCCTCCAACTTGTGCTCTCTCTCAAATAAATAAATAAATAAAATCTTTTAAAAAAATGGATCTTGGGATGCCTAGGTGGCTCAGTGGGTTAAAGCCTCTGCCTTCGGCTTGGGTCATGATCCCGGAGTCCTGGGATCGAGCCCTACATCAGGCTCTCTGCTCAGCAGGGAGCCTGCTTCCTCCTCTCTCTCTGCCTGCCTCTCTGCCTACTTGTGATCTGTCTCTCTGTCAAATAAATAAATAAAATCTTTGAAAAAAAAATGAATCTTGAGCTCATGGGCAGACAAGCGCACAGGAAGATGAGTGGTAGTGAGGGGTTATGATGTCTATCTAGACCATATCTGACGCATAAGAAGGGAGGATGTCAGGGTGAGTGTGCACCAGACACTGAGGCAGACACATAAGCAAAGGGAGCAAGAGGCACTTGGGAAGGAGAGCCAGCCTGGCCCGAGGCCTCTGAGGGGAACTGCTCAGGGCAGGGTGCCCCAAATGGCATCTGCAGAGGCAGCAGGCAGTGCAAGAGAAAGCTCTGGTCTGAGAAAAAGGTCCGAGGAGGAAGCAAGCTGTGAGGGACAAGGTCCTGCAGGAATGTCACAGGTGGTCTGGAGCAGCAGTGAATGGGGCAACTTCCCATGTCAGCAAGGCCACCTGGGTGATGGCCGTGGCCCCCTAAGCTGGAGTTAGCACCCTGTGGGAAGAGAGCTGTGCAGATGGAAACTATAGGCAGCCCAGAGACCCAAAGGGTCCTGGCTTGAGGATCAGGAGTCCTGGGTGCTGGCTGCTGTTTCACCACCACGGGGACTGTCACTTCAACTCTTTGGGCCTCAGTTTCCCTTTCTGCTAAGTGATCATGGCCACATGATCTTTACAGGCCTCTGAAACCCCATTATTGCAGGGTCCCGACTCCCTGCATACAGGGAACACAGCAGATCTGCCCAGGCCGGAGAGGGCAACCGGGCTCCACCTCGAGCACATGTTGCTCGAGCACCATGTGGAGAAAAATCGCAAAACACTCCGACTTCCACAGAAAAAGACTGCTGGGGAGACTGGGGAGACCCTCCCCCCGCCAGAGGCTCAAAATGCCCAAAAGGTGGGCGTGGCAGGGATCTGCCATCCCTTACTTGTACTGTTTCCTACGGTGGTTGCGGAAATCCTCCAACCCCTCACGGAATGAGGAGATGAAGACTTGTTTCTCCTGGGGTCCTTTCTGCAGCCAGCAGAGCCAGCCCCCCCCCCCAGTCGTAGGCTCCCCTCCCCTGTCCTCCTGCAGGCGGATACCCTGGAGCCCGTCTGCTGCTTGCTCAGATCCTCCCTGCTTCCGGCCTCTGTCTCTGCTATGTTCATCGTCTTCATGTCCTATCTTCCTCCTGGGACTCTGACCCCCCGCCCCTTCCTACAGCCAAGACACAACTTATTAATCACGACAGGCTCTCTCACCGAGAAAGGCGACCTTCCTCTAAAAAGTGTGGTCAGTAAACAATCCCGATCATTTCTCTACTTTGCCTTTTATTCTTCTTTCCCTGGTGTCCTCCTCTTCCCCCACCCCCCAGACAGGGCTGCAGCTCTCAGATGGATGGCCACAGTGCCGCTAACAGACAGGGGGGTTATTTCACAGACTAGGGCACCAGGCTGTGGTACAGCTGGCAGGAAGAGAAGGGTAATTATAGTGCATCTCGGAGCCACCGGCAATGAATTTCTGCATAAAGGACTAGATTTGCCATGTATTATTTACGCCAGCATCAATTTTCCCAGCTGGCTCTATTTACTGTGCAAATTCTCTCCTGTCTGTTTATGGGCAAGGCCATGGTTCAGCACCTCTGGCTACTCTATACTGTGGAGGGGCCCTACAGGGCACCATGCATAATAAACAAGTAGCTGGGTTCACCAGGGCCACATTCTCCCTTCCTGTTAAATTATATCCCTGGGACTGCAGCGAGTTCCCAGTCTCACCTAGTCACGGTGATGCACGCAGGTGCGTGAAACCAAATCAGCAAGAGGAAAAAAAGGAAGAACCATTCTTTGGAACCTCACTGGGGGAAACTGAAAAACACCCTTCTGGGGGGAAATCAGGTGGCTCTGGGGCTCAGGGAATTTCCTGTTTGTATTTTTAAGGGCAGGACATAGATAAAGAAGGGCTTTGCTTTTGCAAGGTCACTTCTACCCGAAACTAAAAGACAACGCTAGGGGAAAGGGATGTCCATCTTACAGATGGAAAAACAGGGACAAAAAAAAAAAGAGAGAGAGAGAGCCCAGAGGCTTCTGGGCTCAGTCACTGCATGAGGATGGAACGCGGGTACCATGGTGACACAAAGGGTTCTGTCTGGTCTCTAGCAGGCCTCTTCACAGAGGCCAGAGGCCAAGGTGAACTCAGCTCCCATGGAAACATACATGATAAAAACAAGGAAGAAAACCTGGGACCGGCATGAGTTTCTGGGTCCTTCCAACACAGCGTCCTCTCTTGCCACAGAAAGAGAGGCTGAAGAAACAGAGATGTCTCCTCCGTCCAGCCTGAGAGCTTCTCCTACAGTTCCAAGTGTTGGGTGACAGTGAACAGCAGCTGCTAGCGTGCACAGAGGTGGGGCGCTTGATGTCCCCGGCTTTTCCCAATCAACAGCACAGTCCTATCTGATCTCCCTTGGGACGCTGGGCTCTGCTCTGGAGGCCCCCAGGTCCCAATGTCTACCACCTCCTGGAAACCTGTTGGCTGGAAAAAGACAGGAGGGAAGGGTAAGTTTTTGAGTTAAGCAACTGGAGCAGGCAGCCTCTTTGGTTGCTGGGTCCCAGCATCCAAGAATCCCTCCGTGAGACATCTGGGCACACAAACACCCTCAAGGGCCCAAATTCTTGGCTTTCCCCTGCGGCCAGCTCACCAAACGGGGAGATTTGGTCAGACGTGCCCTGCGCCAACTGCCCGATGCTCCTGCTCCTTCCTCAATGTCCAGGAGAATCCGGGTGCTGGGTACAAAGCTCCAGGAGCGTCCAAGGGCAGGTTTGAGATCCCCACTGTCCCTGTCTCGGGTCATGTGGTTGGTTACCTAAGGCAAAAAGCAGCAAAGACTTCCAGATCGATCATGCTGGTATAGAGGTTATCTGTTCCTGCTGCTTCATTCTACAAGTGGGAAAACTGAGGCCCAGCACAGAGAAAGGACTTCCTCCGGGTTCCCTGAGTTACTGACAGCGGATCTGGAACTAGAACCCTGGGTCCCCACTAGCGCTCCACTCTTTCCATGAAATTACCACGCGTCAGGCTTGACTCCAGCAGAAAGTCATGGGCCACGGGTTTGGGAATAAGCAGCACTGTCTGCACTTCGCTGGAGGGAAGGGAGAGGTGGGCTCGCACCTCCTACACCCCCAACCCAGGGGACAGGCATTCTGAGACTACATCCACCCAGCCCTTGTGGCATCTGTATGTAGGGGGTCGTGGGAGCTTTGAAAGGGAGGTTGTAATCTGGTCAGTCAGTTCTCCTCTGCCCAGCATAGCCATAGGTGGACAACCGGAGCCTCACGGCATCCTCTTGATGACAAGTCTCCCCACCGGCACCCCCAACCGGGGGCAGGGGGCTGCAGCTTGTTCATCACTGAGTCCCCACTGCCTAAGCAAGAGCCACAAGCAGGTGAACATACACAGCCTGAAGTCAGGAGAGGGAGGCCCTGGGACTCGACTTAAGAACTAAAAGTGGGGCGCCTGGGTGGCTCAGTGGGTTAAAGCCTCTGCCTTAGGCTTGGGTCATGGTCTCCGGGTCCTGGGATCGAGCCCCGCATCAGGCTCTCTGCTCAGCGGGGAGCCTGCTTTCCCCCCCTCTCTCTGCCTGCCTCTCTGCCTACTTATGATCTCTGTCAAATAAATAAATAAAATCTTCAAAAAAAAAAATAAAACTAAAAGAACACTGCTGGTGGGTGTACAAATTAGTATAACCTTCCTGGAAATTTGGCGATATCGTATCTACACACTTAAAAATGTATGTATTTTGGGGGTGCCTGAGGGGCTCAGGTGGTTAAGTGTCTGTTTTTGGCTCAGGATGTGATCTGAGGGTCCTGGGATTGAGTCCCACATCAGGCTCTCTGCTCAGTTGGGAGTCTGCTTCTCCCTCTCCCTTTGCCCACCCCCCACCCCCTGACTCGTGCTCTCTCTCTCTCTCTCTGGTTCTCTTTCTCTCAAATAAATAAATAAAGTATTTTTTAAAATTAAATTAGTTTAAAAATGTGGTTATCCCTGACTCTGTAATTACACTTTTAGGAGTCTGAGAAAATAATATGAAATGTACAAAGAAATTTGGGTATCAGGGTGTTCACTGGAGTTTTACTTAAACATTTATTTATTTATTTTAGAGAGAGAGCAAGTGTGTGAGCAGAGCTGAGGGGTAGAGGGAGAGGGAGAATCTAAAGCTGACTCCCTGCAGAGCATAAAGCCCAATGTGGGGCTCAATTTCACGACCCCAAGATCATGACCTGAGCCGAAATCAGGAGTCTAATGCTTAATTGACTGAGCCGCCAGGCACCCCAGAATTTTACTTAAAATAGAGGAAAACCAGGAGTGCCTGGGTACTCAGTTGGTTAAGCATCTGCCTTCAGCTCAGGTCATGTTCCCAGGGTCCAGATATCAAGTCCCTCATCAGGCACCCGGCTCAGTGGGGAGCCTGCCTCTCCCTTTCCCTCTGCCTGCTGCTCCCCCTGCTTGTGCTCTCTGTCAAATAAATAAATAAAATCTTTTTTAAAAATTAAAAAATTAAAATTAAGAAAATAAAAGAGGAAAACCGGTAACGAACTACAGGCTCACAATCAGGAAACAGACCATTATGGGACACCAGGGTTGGCAAACTACTCCCGACACACCAACTGTGGCCCCAAAATTATTTCTGAAAGTCAAGTTTGGCTGGAACATAGCCATGCCCTCTGTTTAGGGACTGTCTGTGGTTGTTCTCACGCAACCTTGGCGGAGCAGAGTAGCTGTGACGGAAACCATATGGCCACAAAGCCTCGACCATTTACTCTCCGGCCCTTTACAGAAAAGTTTGCTGACCCCTGTAACACAGGTATTAAATAAAATATGTAACTGCTAAAAATGGCATTCTTAAAGCATCTATTTAAAGACAGGGAAATGGAATGAGATGAGGTTTTTTTGTTTTTTTTTTAAAACAAGCTTAGAGTTTAATTGGAAAGCTGGTTAAAAGTATATGTATATATGGCAGAAAAAAGGTCCTATGGAGATATATAAAAATATTAATATGTTTTCTGTGGATGTGGAGACTTACTATAAATTTGACTCCTATATTTAACTATTTTTTACCCTATGAGAAGCATACAGACTTTTTTTTTTTTTAAAGATTTTATTTATTTATTTGACAGACAGAGATTACAAGTAGGCAGAGAGGGAGGCAGAGAGAGAGAGGAGGAAGCAGGCTCCCTGCCGAGCAGAGAGCCCCATGCGGGGCTCAATCCCATGACCCTGGGATCATGACCTGAGCCGAAGGCAGAGGCTTTAACCCACTGAGCCACCCAGGCGCCCCTGCATACAGACTTTTTAAACAGTCTCCAGTAAGCAGAAAAGTTTACCTTGAAAGCAAAAACATTCCTTTCTATGAAGCACTGGAAAAGGCAAAAGTATTGGGACAGAAACAGGATTAGTGGTTGTCTGGGGCTTGGGGACCTTTCTGGATGACCAAATATTCTAGATCTTGATTGTGCCATGTAACAAGATACATAGCTTAGTATCCGCTGGCCAAACTTCATATGAGGAAAAAGTCACTGTGTGTGAATTATTCCTCAATAAACCTGTCTTAGAGTAAGAAGAAAACCAAGACTATCCCTGACCCCTTGGCTATTTATGTCTGATCCCGTCCCAGTCTAGGGCTCTTGATGGCCCAGGGAAGTTGGGCTAAGATCCTGTCCTAAAGGACCATGTTGGGGGTTAAGCTGGCATTTAAGGAAAGTAAACAGCTGGAACTGGAAATCAAATTCTTGTTCCCCCCCCCCTCGGCAAAGCCCAGGGAGCAGAGATAAGACGAGCAAGCCGTCAAGTGCACTTCCTCACCATCACTGCCACGCCCAGGTCCCGGGCCAGGGTCTTCAGCTCTCGAGCCAGCTGCATCATCAAGGCCAAACCTGGAGAAGGAGAAGCAGAGGGCGAGGGCAGCAGGGCACCTGGGATTGGGCTGATCGGGGACTGGATTCCAAAGGTGGGAGGCTAGATGACGTCCTGGACCCTGGGCTCTGCCGCACCTCTTACCTTCCCTCTGCTGACCTCCCAGAAGTGGGGAGACCACCGCAGTGACTGAGTCCACAACCACCACCTTCACAGTCGCTGAGGCGCTGCTCACCTGGGGAGAAGCAGATGCCATAAACCAGTTGGCCTCTAGAGAGGGTCCATTATAGAGCAAGCTTGCTCCTCTATCAGACACAGGTAAGAAATAAGTTCTCCAACCCCAAATATAACTGTGCAGGCCTCATGGAATTTCAGGTCTTTTCCCCCCATCTCTGTTTGTAGGTATAATGGATTTTACTGAAGACTTGGGTGGATAGAGGGTGTTTAAATCACAGGACATCGCAGATACACCAAAATAATTAAATTTGAAAAATCCCTAATCCAAGTTCTCTGGCCCCAGTCATGAATTTTCTTTCTTTCTTTTCTTTGTTTAAGGTATTTTTAAAGTAATCTCTACACCCAACATGGGGCTTGAACTCACAGCCTCGAGATCAAGAGTCGCATGCAATACCCATGGAGACAGCCAGGCTCCCAGCCCTGTATTATGTTTTTAAGATTTTTTTTTCCCTAAAGATTTTACTTATCTATTAATTTACTTACTTACTTATTTATTAGAGAGAGTGTGAGCCCATGCATAGGGGAAGGAGAAAGAGAGAGGGAGAAGGACAAGCAGACTCCACACTGAATGCAGAGCCCAATGCGGGGCCCTGTCCCACAACCCTGAGATCACAACCTGAGCCGAAATCAGGAGTTGGATGTTCAACCAACTGAGTCACTTAGGTGCCCCAAGAATTTTTTTTAAAGCAGGCTTTACACCTAGAGTGGAGCCAAATGCGGGGCTTGAACTCAGGACCCTGAGATCAAGACCTGAGGTGAGATCAAGAGTGGGACATTTGGGCAAAGGAAACAGTTAACAAAACCAAAAGACAACTGACAGAATGGGAGAAGATATTTGCAAATGACATATCAGATAAAGGGCTAGTGTCCAAAATCTATAAAGAACTTAGCAAACTCAACACCCAAAGAACAAATAATCCAATCAAGAAATGGGCAGAGGACATGAACAGACATTTCTGCAAAGAAGACATCCAGATGGCCAACAGACACATGAAAAAAGTACTCCACATCACTGGGCATCAGGGAAATACAAATCAAAACCACAATGAGATATCACCTCACACCAGTCAGAATGGCTAAAATTAACAAGTCAGGAAATGACAGATGCTGGCGAGGATGCGGAGAAAGGGGAACCCTCCTACACTGTTGGTGGGAATGCAAGCTGGTGCAACCACTCTGGAAAACAGCATGGAGGTTCCTCAAAATGTTGAAAATAGAACTACCCTATGACCCAGCAATTGCACTGCTGGGTATTTACCCTAAAGATACAAACGTAGTGATCCGAAGGGGCACGTGCACCCGAATGTTTATAGCAGCAATGTCTACAATAGCCAAACTATGGAAAGAACCTAGATGTCCATCAACAGATGAATGGATAAAGATGTGGTGGTATATATACACAATGGAATACTATGCAGCCATCAAAAGAAATGAAATCTTGCCATTTGCGACGACGTGGATGGAACTAGAGGGTATCATGCTTAGCGAAATAAGTCAATCGGAGAAAGACAACTATCACATGATCTCCCTGATATGAGGGAGAGGAGATGCAACATGGGGGGTTAAGGGGGTAGGAGAAGAGTAAATGAAACAAGATGGGATTGGGAGGGAGACAAACCATAAGTGACTCTTAATCTCACAAAACAAACTGAGGGTTGATGGGGGGGAGGGGGGTTGGGAGAGGGGGGGTGGACTTATGGACATTGGGGAGGGTATGTGCTATGGTGAGTGCTGTGAAGTGTGTAAACCTGGCGATTCACAGACCTGTACCCCTGGGGATAAAAATATATTATACGTTTATAAAAAATAAAATTAAAAAAAAAAAAAAGAGTGGGACATTTGGGATGCTTGGTAACTCAGTTGGTTAAGCAGCCAGCTCTTGATTTCAGCTCAGGTCATGATCTCGGGGTCCTGGGATCTAGCCCCACATTGGAGTCCCTGCTCAGTGGAGATGCTCTGGGATCTTCTGTCTCTCTCTCCCCACCCCTCTCCCCAATTGTTCTCTCTTGCACACTCTCTCTCACAAATAAATCAATCTTAAACAAAACAAAACAAAACAAAACAAAAAGGAGTGGGATACTTAACCGACTGAGCCACCCAGGCACCCCCAGTCCTGAATTTGCTTAGCAGCCGTCTCTCTCACAGTCAGCCTCCCCCACCATCATCTTGCCAGGCTCCTCCTTTCCTTCTTCTGCTTACTTCCCTAATTTCCAACTTCCTGTGCTGAAGGGGTTAGCCTTCTCTTTACTTCAGTCTCCTTCTAGATCATGCCTCTAGGCCTCATCTTCCGCATTTCAAGCAGTTCCAAATACAGATTATATAGACAGCCATCTCTTAAAACCACCATCTTTTTCTCCACACACGCATAAGCATCATCCTAGTTTCTTGTACCTAATCTCCCTTACTCTTTATTATCCAAGTCATTTGCTACTTGTTTCCACAACTTTCTTTCTCACTTCATGCTGCCCAGATCATGGTTATTCAGCATTATCTGGTCTTTTGCATGTTTTCCTTCATCGTCCAGTTACTGACTCTCAGCCATCCGCTCGTCTAGGAGAGGATGGCTGAAAGGAAGAGAAGCTAAAACTGAAATCAGCTTAGCTCTTCCTCAGTCTGAGAGAGCAGGTTAAAATCTCTGGCTAAAATGTGGACAGCCAGGCTTTCACTGCTGGTAACTATGGAGCTATCAGGTCATCCGTGGGGGACAGACCCTAAAGCGGCCCCTTGACCTCCACCTCCAGGTGTTTGAGCCCTTGTGTAATCCCCTCCTCCAACTGCAGGCGAGTCCTGTGGCTGGCTTCTGACTAATACAGTGTCAGAGGTGCTGGACTGTCTTGATGAGTCTGCCTCATGGCAAAGGACATTGCTCCCAAGATTACATTATGTAACATGAAACTACATGTTCCATTTTGCTCTCACTTTTTTGTTTTTAAATTTAAGTTATTTGAGGGAGAAGGAAAGAGAGTGAGAGCGTAAGTGAGGGGAGGAGCAAAGGGAGTGGGAGAAACAGACTTCCCAAGGAGCACAGAGCCCAGTGAGGGGCTCGATCCCAGGACCCTGAGATCACTACCTGAGCTGAAGTCAGAGGCTTAACCGACTGGGTCACCCACGCACCCCTTGCTCTCATTCTTGTGCTGTTTTGATGAAGCAAGTGGGCATGCTGTGAACTGCCTATGGAAAGGGCCACAGGGCAGAGAACAGTGGGAGCCTGGACAACTGCCAACAAGACACTGAACCCACTAGAAATGAGTCCTGGTGACAACCCCAGTGAACTGGTATGCGGATTCTTCCCCAGTTGTGTCTTCAGATAAGAGCACAGTCCAGAGCGCCTATGTGGCTCAGTCGGTTAAGCATCTGCCTTCAGCTCAGGTCATGATCGCAGGGTTCTGGGATCAAGTCCTACATTGGGCTCCCTGCTTAGCAGGGAGTCTGCTTCTCCCTCTCTCTCTACCCCACCCCTCTGCTCATACTCTCGCTCTCTCTCAAATAAATAAATAAAATATTTTTAAAAATCTTTTAAGAAGGGGCACCTGGGTGGCTCACCCATTGAGCATCTGCCTTTGGCTCAGGTCATAATCCCAGGGTCCTGGGATCAAGCCCTGCATTGGGCTCCCTGCTTGGCGGGAAGTCTGCTTCTCCCTCTCCCATTCCCCCTGTTTCTGTTCCCTTTCTCGCTATGGCTCTCTGTCAAATAAATAAATAAAATCTTAAAAAAATTTTTTTTTTAAAAGAACACAGCCTGGCTGCCATCTTGATTACAGACTATTAAGATCCTAAGCAGAAGCCCCAGCTAAGCTATGTGACTAATGACCCATGGAAACTGTGAGGTAATAAGTGTGTTAAGTCATTATGTTTGTGATAACTTGTTATTCAATAATAGAATATATACTATCCTAATGGTCTTCCAGTAAAAAAACACAAGTCATTTGACCTGGAAGTTGAGAGATTTAGTTCTTATCCTAACTATGCAGTGACTTTGAGCAACTTACTAAACTTCTCTGGTCCTCATTCTCCTCATCCCCAGAAATGAGAGGGTTGGATTAGATCAGGGCTACTTGACTTCATGTCTCAACACACATGGGTCATAATAAGCTACTGCTCCTACGGCAAGTTTCTGTTCAACTATTAAGTGTTCCAAAGTTTGTAAAAATCATTACTTTACATACCATCCCAGGTATGCCCATAGGAACATGTAACCCTTTGGGGTCAGAGAAAGTTTAACATGAATTGAGCTATTCTAAGACGTCTTTCTTTTCTTTTCTTTTCTTTCTTTTTTTAAGATTTTTATTTATTTATTTGACAGAGATCACAAGTAGGCAGAGGGTGGAATGGAAGCAGGCTCCCCGCTGAGCAGAGAGCCCGATGCAGGGCTCAATCCCAGGACCCTGAGACCACGACCCAAGCTGAAGGCAGAGGCTCTAACCCACTGAGCCAACTAGGCGCCCCTCCAAGATGTCTTTCTAAATCTAATAGCCTATAAATCAGTGCACCAAATCCTGTCTAGGCACCCAGCAGGTGTAGGGGGTACCAACCCAAATGCCACTCTAAGCCCCTCTTCCTTGTTAACAGGATTCTGGATGTGTTCAGGTAGAGGGCAGAAATCTGACATCATGGAAGGTGGGCCCAACCCCTAGTCTAAGATACACACAAAACTCTGTTTTGGCCAACAAGACATAAGGCGAAGTCTACTAGTGGGTTCTGGAGAAAGATTTTCTTTCCTGATAAAACGGAAGAAGGCAGAAAAAGGGGCCATCTATTACTGCCCCGAATATGGGTGTTGATGTGGGAAGACATGATGCCGACAGCTATAGCAGCCATTTTGCAGTTATGAGGGGGAAGAGCAAGAGAATCAGACATACCAGCCTAGAGCCCTGATACCACGGACCTGCCCATTCCAGACTCATGTGAGGTAATTAAATGTCCTCAAGGTTCAAGTGCCTGTCACACAGCCTCTCTTACTTGCAGCTGAAAGTAATCTTTGCCGATCCAGGGAGGATGAATGCAGAAATGAATATGACTTGATCCTTGCATCAAGGGTCTTACTGTTCAGTGGGGATGGGCAGGAAAACAGTGAGGCACTCAGGAATGGATTAAGCACACGGGAATCCCACCCTGGCAGTGGCAGGCACAGCTAGAGTCACCAGATGGCACATCTGCTTTGCCAGTCTGTCCTAGGCCACCTGCCCCCTGGCAGATAGCATTCCACAAGCTAGGTGAAGCAGGGAGGGGCAGAACAACAGGCTCACCTGCTGGGACACGGCGCCTCGGAAGTCCTGCAGCACGGCCAACATCTGGAAGATGTCAAACGCACGCACTACCTGGATCCTCTGGAGGGCTCCTGCCTAAGGGCGTGGCAAGGTGAAGAAGGGGCTTTGGATAAGAGGGAGCAGGGGCTCAAGCAAGATAAAGAGGGATTTTAAAGCTGAACAAGAAACCTAGACATAAGGACTCCAGTCCAAGCTAGCAGATGGGCTTTGTCTCCTGGGCCAGTTCTCACGGTGGTGGCCTTCTGGGTGCCGCGCTGTAAAGCCAAGTCAGAGTTCAGGGTCAAAGTATGGCAGGTCTGGTTAGGAATGTCTGCCATGCAAGAAATAGGAAGGAAACACAGATGCTGTGTGCTTGCCAGCCCTGAATTAGGGTGTGCAAGGAGCTGGGTCACCTGGAAGATCAGTGTGGGGACCATCCATGCTGGGATAATGTCCTAATGGGACACTGGAAGAATACAGGAAGAATTAATAGAACAGCGTGGTTTCAAAGCCAGAAATGACTGTTCGTCCAAATGCCCAAAATTCAGGCAACATAAGGGATAATGAGGTCTTTCTGTATCGGAACCTTGAAGGTACTCAAGCCTCCTGCCCTCACCTGCTGCTCCTCGTCTGGGGTCCTGGCCTGAAGTAGCTGGAGGATACGGGAGGCTGTCAGTCCTCCGTTGGAATCAATGTACAGAACATTCTGCTGCAGGCTGTAGGCCACATTTGCAGCCACACGAAGACACACCTGAAGAGATGAGGCATTGGGAGAATGTGAGCCCCCAAAGAGGGCCCAGAATGGGAATTCCCCCCACCAAATCCTGTCCAGATCCCACTGACGCGAATGGGCCAAGCTCAAGTTCAAGCCCCACTCCTCACCACCTATCTTCTCTCTGAATCACAAGTACATTGGCAGAAGCTTCCCCAGGGATCCAGAGCGATGCACCCACCTTCCCACCTCCCCCGTCCCCATGTCCTCCCAGCTGCTGGCTGCCCACGTACCTGGGTTTTGCCACTACCTGGGCCTCCTACAATCTCAGTCACTTCTCCAGTGTAGAGACCAGCATCAAGCAGTTTGTCCAGGCTGGTGAAAGAGGAGGAAGAGAATCAACCCAGCAGACTGGAGGGAACAGAGGGGAATAGGAACCAAGAAGAAAAAGCAAGACACTGCTTCCCAAGCCTGGGTTCTGTCCAGAGATGGTCTGAACATCCCTAGGGAAAGAGGGCACAGGTATAAGCTCTGCCTTGGGCCCCTCCTCATCCATTCGCTCTCAGCCGGAAGATCACTCCGCTCTCCACAGAGGTCTCTGCCATCCCAGCAAAGGGTCCTCCTTCCATTCTGGATCTTAATCCCTTAAGGGTTTCCTTGATAGCATTTCCCATAATTTGTCATTATTTATTTGTTATGATATTTACTTATTAAAGATCTTTACTTATTTATTTGAGAGAGAAAAAGAGCGAGAGATGGAGTTGGGGGGTGGAGCGTGGAGAGAAGTAGACATCCAAAGAGCAGGGAGCCCACTGTGGGGCTCAATCCTAGGACCCTGGAATCATGACCTGGGGCAAAGGCAGACACTTAACCTACTGAGCCACCCAGGTGCCCCTGTCATTTTTTTTTTTTTAAGATTTTATTTATTTATTTGACAGAGATCACAAGTAGGCAGAGAGGCAGGCAGAGAGAGAGGAGGAAGCAGGCTCCCTGCTAAGCAGAGAGCCCGATGCGGGGCTCGATCCCAAGACCCTGGGATCATGACCTGAGCCGAAGGCAGAGGCTATAACCCACTGAGCCACCCATGCACCCAACCCCCTGTCATTTTTTAAATTTTTTGAAATAATTATAGATTCATAGGAAGTTGCCAAAAAAAAAAAAAAAAAAAGATTGTACAGGGAGGTCCCATATACCCTTCCCCTCCCTTTCCTTAATGGTGACCTCTTGTACTGCACATTGCAAGCCAACCACAGTGCAATCAACAGAGCTTATCCAGACTTCCCGTGTTCCGTGTATGTGTGTGTGTGTACGGTTCTAAGCAATCTTTTTTTTTTTTTTAAAGATTTTATTTATTTATTTGACACAGAGAGATCACAAGTAGGCAGAGAGGCGGGGGAAGCGGGACTCGATCCCAGGACCCTGAGATCATGACCTGAGCCAAAGGCAGAGGCTTAACCAACTGAGCCACCCAGGCACCCCAGTTCTATGCAATCTTATCACACATGTACGTTCACGCAACAACCGCAAGCAAGATACAGAGTATTTCCATCACTACATGTCTCCCCTGCCCACCCTGCTATAGCTACACCCCTCCATCCCACCCTGAATCCCTGGCAACCACCCATCTGTTCTCTACCTCTGTCATGATGTTACTTCAAGAATGTTACGTGCACAAAACCACACTGCATGTAGCCGTTGTGGCTGGCTTCTTTTGCTCAGCATCATTCCCTTGAGATCTATCCATGTTGCTGTTTCCATAGCTGTTGTTTTTTATTGCTGAGAAGCAGCCCATGGTACAGACACACCAAGTTTATTCAACCATTCACTCACAGAAGTCTGTTTTGGCTGCTTCCAGGTTGGGGCAATTGTGAATCAAATCGCTGTAATCATTTGTGTACAGGTTTTTGTGTAAACCTGTTTTTATTTCTCTGGAATAAATGCCTAAGGGGCGCCTGGGTGGCTTAGCAGGTTAAGCCTCTGCCTTCGGCTCAGGTCATGGTCTCAGGGTCCTGGGATCAAGCTCCAAATTGAGGCTCTCTGCTCAGCAGGGAGCCTGCTTCCCTTCCTCTCTCTCTGCCTGCCTCTCTGCCTACTTGTGATCTCTGTCAAATAAATAAATAAAATCTTTAAAAAAAAGATATCTTTTATAAACAAACAAACAAACAAATAAATAAATAAATGTCTAAGACTACAACTGCCAGGGGACACCTGGCTGGCTCAGTCACTGGAGCCTGGGACTCTTGATCTCAGGGCTGGAAGTTCGAGCCCCATGTTGGGTATAGAGATTACATAAAAATAAAATATTTAGGGGGTGTCTGGGTGGCTCAGTCGATTAAGTGTCCCAACTCTTGATTTTGGCTCAGGTCATGACCTCAGGTTTGTCAGATTGAGCCCAGCATAGGGCCCCGTGTTGGGTATGGAGTCTGCTTAAGATTCTCTCTCCCTGGGTGCCTGGGTGCCTAGGTCAGTTAAGCATCTGCCTTCAGCTCAGGTCATGATCTTGGGGCCCTGGGATTTACACCCACATAGGGCTCCCTGCTCTGTGGGGAGCCTGCTTCTCCCTCTCCCTCTGCAGTCCCCTGGCTTGTGCTGTCTCTCTTTCTCTGTGTCAAATGGATAAAATCTTAAAAACAAAAAAAAGATTATCTTTCCCTCTGCGCCTCTCCCCATCTCTAAAAATTAAAAAAACAAAAAAAACACAACTGTTGGGTTGTACTGTAAGCACATGTTAATTTTCATTTCTTTTTTTTAATTTAAATTCAATTAATTAACATATAATGTAATACTTGTCTCAGCCGTACAGGTCTGTGATTCATCAGTTGTATATAATACCCAGTGCTCATTACAACACATACCCTCCCCGATGTCCATCACCCTGTTACCCCATTACCACCCCCATCCTCCAGCAACCCTTGGTTAGTTTCCTATGATTAAGAGTCTCTTATGGTTTGTCTCCCTGTCTGGTTTCATCTTGTCTTATTTCTTCCTCTCCTCCCCTATGATCCTCTGCCTTGTTTCTTAAATTCCACATATCAGTGAGATCATATAACTGTCTTTCCGATTGACTTATTTCTCTTAGCATAACATCCTCCAGTTCCATCCACATCATTGCAAATGACAAGATTCCATTTTTTTTGATGGCTGCAGCACATGTTAATTTTATAAGAAACTATGAACTGCTTCCCTGAGTGGCTATGCCACGTTACTATCCCACTAGCAATGAATGAGTAATCCAGTCTCTCCACATGCTTACCACCATTTGGTCTTGTCACCATTTTTTGGTGTGGCTATTCTGATAGGTATGTAGTTATATATCACATGCTTTTTTTTTTTTTAAGATTTTATTTATTTATTTGACAGAGAGACAGATCACAAGTAGGCAGAGAGGCAGGCAGAGAGACAGAGGGAAGCAGACCCCCTGCTGAGCAGAGAGCCCGATGCGGGACTCGATCCCAGGACCCTAAGACCATGACCTGAGCCAAAGGCAGAGGCTTAACCCATTGAGCCACCCAGGTGCCCCTATCTCATGCTTTTTAAAAAAAGATTTTATTTATTCACTTTATTTTTGAGATTTTTATTTATTTATAAAGATTTTATTTATTTATTTGACAGAGAGAGACATAGAGAGAGCAGGAACACAAGCAGGGGGGAGTGGGAGAAGAAGCAGCAGGCTTCCCGATGAACGGGGAGCCTGATGCAGGGCTCGATCCCATCATGACCTGAGCAGAAGGAAGACACTTCCTGTGAGAGAGGGAACACGAGAGAGGGAGAGAGAGGGATAAGCACGCTCTGCACTGAGCAGGGAGCCCAATGTGGGGCTCGATCCCCAGGACCCTGGGATCATGACCTGAGCCGAAGGCAGATGCTTAACCAACTGAGCCACCCAGGTGCCCCTTAAGAATTCTATATTCTAGATGGAAGTCCTTGGTGGCTTGCAAATATTTTCCCCACTCTACAGCTTGTCTTTTTCTCTCTTGCAGAGCAAAAGTTTTAATTCTGAATTCATCCTTAATTTTGTTTTTTGATTAAAAATTTTATCTTTATTAATGACACTTTTGGTGTCAAGTCTAAGAACCCTTCACTTAGCCCTAGTTCTCAAAGATTTTCTTCCTTTTGTTCTAAAAGCTTGACAGTTTTAGGGTGCCTGCCTGGCTCAGCTTGAGGAGCATGTAACTTGATCTCAGGGTTGTGAGTCTGAGCCCCCCATTAGGTATAAAGATTAAGATCTTTTTTTTTTCAAGATTACTTAAGATCTTAAAAAAAAATTCAGTTGGACGTATTTGTAGGTCTATTGCTAGGTTCTTTATGTGACTCCGCTGATTTATTTCTCTTTCACTTGGCCGATACCATATCTATCTTGATTCCTTCTTTATAGTAAGAATGTTTGGCAGACTGAGTCCTCCAACTTTATTCTTTTTCAAAAATGTTTTAGCAATTCAAGGTCATTGGCTTTTTTTCCAGGTAATTATTAGGATAAATCTTACTTTCACCAAAAAAAAAAAAGTCTGCTGGGACTTTGGTAGGTACTACTTTACGTTTATAGGGCAATTTGGGGAGAATTGACATCTTTACTATGCTGAGTCTTTCAATCCATGAATACAGTTTGTCTCTCCATTTATTTGGGTCGTCTTTGATTTCTTCCATCAGCAAGTTTTAATTTTCAGCACACAGCTCCTATACCTGCTCTGTTAGATTTAGACCTAAGTATTTCATTTTCTTCGGAGCAACTGTAAATGGTATTATGTTTTAATTTCCATTTCCACAGGTTTGTTTTGAGTATATAGAAACGCAATTGATTTTTATGTGCTGATCTTGTATCCTGCGGCCGTGCTGAATTCACTCCGTTCTGGGGGTTGGTGATTATTTTCTATGTGCTTGTTTTTGTCTCTCTTCCCATTTGGCCCAGAGCACCCAGGGGCAAGGACATTGGCTCAATGCTAGAAACACAGGGGAGACACAATAAATGTTCCTAGAGGAACAAGTGGTAGAACAGTAGTATTTAGTTATTTGGTTCCTATATTGTCGACATTCTGGCCGTGGAAGCCTTCGGGTAAAGTCAAGACACAGCCAATTCCAAATCCATGTTCTGTCCTCGAACCATCGCAAAAGAAACGGGCCACTAACCACACTGCACTCCCCACCCAAATGTGGGCTGAAGCAGCTTCCCCTAAACCACACCCCATTACCAACAGCTCTGCATCCTGGCCTCACGTATCCCTTCTCCAGCCCTGCAAACAGCTTCATGGGGTCTAGTACCCTAAACAGTTCTTGACGACCTCCCATGACCCTTCTGTGCATGCCAAGCAGCACCTCAGGAATTGATTCCAATTCCAAGGACCCCATGATTGTAAGCACAGGTCCCTGCCAGTCAAATCGTTCCTGTCACCACTCCAGGCCTGTGGCTTCTCCCCTTGGGATCAGACAATCCCTAGCTCCAGCACAGCAGGGGTTCTCCTGGTGTGGTTCCCCAGACCAACAGCAGCAGCACTAGGAACTGGCATGAAATGCAAACTCTCACTCACCTCCCCCCCCCGCCCCCGCATCAGAAAATGGAGAATGTAGAAGTTTCAACAAGGCCTCTAGGTGGTATAGATGCATTTCCACATTTGAAAACCACTAGGCTAGACTAGTGATTCTCGATCCTGCCTGCATATTAAAATCAGGAGAGCAGTTTTGAAAAAGAAGCTTGTATTAGCGGTTCCCAAACCTGTCTGCATATTGGAATCACTGGGAACTTCAAACACTATTGATCCCTGTGTCCCATCCCTCTCAGAGAATGTGATTTAATTGGTCTGTAAGAGGCATGACCTTTGAGGATGTTTAAAGATTCCCCAAGTGATTCTTTTTTTTTAAGATTTTATTTTATTTTAAGATTTAATTTATTTATTTGTGGGGGGAGGAGCAGACTTCCCGCAGAGGAGGAAGCCTGACTCAGGACTCCATCCCAGGACCCCAGGATCATTACCTGAGGTGAAGGCAGATGCTTAACCAACTGAGCCACCCAAGTGCCCCTAAGATTTTATTTTTAAGTAATCTCTACACCCAGCATGGGGCTTGAACTCAAAGCCCCAAGATCAAGAGTCACACACTCTACTGACTGAGCCAGGCAGACACCCCTCCCCAAGTGATTCCATTGTGTGGACAAGTTTGGGAACCATTGGCCTAGAGTCAGAATGGGTGGGACCCAGGCATAAATTTTTTTTTTTTTTTTAAGATTTTATCTATTTATCCGACAGAGATTACAAGTAGGCAGAGAGCGAGAGGAGGAAGCAGGCTCTCCACTGAGCAGAGAGCCCGACATGGGACCCGATCCCAGGACCCTGAGACCACGATACGAGCCGAAGGCAGAGGCCTAGCCACTGAGCCACCCAGGCACCCCGGCATAAATCTTTTTTTTTTTTTTTTTTAATTTATTTATTTGACAGAGATCACAAGTAGGCAGAGAGGCAGGCAGAGAGAGAGAAGGAAGCAGGCCCCCCCGCCGAGCAGAGAGCCTGATGCGGGACTCGATCCCAGAACCCTGAGATCATGACCTGAGCCGAAGGCAGAGGCTTAAACCACTGAGCCACCCAGGCGCCCCCCGGCATAAATATTTCTTAACCGCCCAGATGATTCTAATGTGTAGCCTGGCCTAACCCACTGGCGTTGACTCTCCAAACAAAAATTGACCTCATTCTTGGCTGTGAGGACGCTGCAGAAGGAATTCCCAAATCCCCCTCACCTGTATTCCTGTGTCACTTCTCCTACTGTCCAGAGGACCACTATCGATCACCTCTAACTCAGTGGAGAGACAACCCCTCCCGCCCCCCGCCCCACCTGCCTTTTGCAGCAAAACCACACCTGGGTCTTACCACCTGCTTTGAATACAACCGATTTCTGGGACTGATCCTTTAGAATTGGCTTTTAGTTTTTTTTTGGCCATTCATTCCAACATAGCCTAAATACTCCCTATTTCCTGAAGGCCTTCCTCTAAAATGAGGGAGATACAGGAGCACCTGGGTTTCTCAACTGGTTGAGCATCTGCCTTCGCCTCAGGTCATGATCCCAGGGTCCTGGGATGGAGCCCCACGTCGGGCTCCTTGCTCAGTGCGGAAGCCTGCTTCTCCCCTTCCCTCCATCTGCAGCTCTCCCTGCTTGTGCTCACTCACTCTCTCTGTGTCAAATAAATAAAATCTAAAAGAAAGAAAGAAGGAAAGAAGGAAGGAAGGAAGAAGGCAGGCAGGCAGGCGTTTAAAAAAATAAGTAAATAAAATGAGGGAGATACGGAGATGAACGAGACACAGCTCCAGCTTTCACAGAACCACTTCTCTCCACCAGTAACTTCCTGCAAGGTACACTTCACACTCTAGGGTCCTTGTAAAGACTCACAGTGCACACCAGGCTCTGAGATGACCCACTATGAAAAAGCTCGTTTACTTTGAGTGAATGAATTATTTCTGAAATGTCTATGTAACTCCCTACCTACCTTTCAAAAAAGTTACATCCATCCAGTGTCCACGGAACACTGAGAGCTGGGCTGGAAACCTAGCGCCTCATCTGACTCTTCACACCTACATCCCACCAGCTAGTAAGGCATTTCACACCTCTTCTACACCTCTCCTGCATGTTCCCTGCCCTGGATCGGACTCACAGGCCCCAGCACTGCCATCTCCCTCAGCCTCTCCCACAGGCCTCCCCCGTCCAGTCCGCCCTGCACACCTCTGCCCTGTGCCGACAGCTCCCTGCTCATTCCGGCCTCCCACTAGGAGAGAGGCAACAGGGCAGGCAAGGCAGAGTCAGGAGCGTGACAGATATAACCCCAAGCACCTGGCCTCGCACTTACTAGCCAAGAGAACTTAAGCAAGCACTTAACCTAAGCCTCAGTTTCCTCATCTCTCCAATGGCTGAGTTTGACTGTCACTCGCTCATTGGTGGTGGTGGAGAAAAAAAATGAAATCATGTGCTGCAAAGCGCGAGCTCAGGGCCAGGTTCTCCGTAGGCGCTCGGAGAGGGCCTGCCTCCCCCACAGAGCTTTCTGGAACCACTCTGATTTCCCTTGCATTGACCCACAATGGCCGCAATCCTGCCCCCTTACCCCTGGATTGCTCCTTAAGTGCTTCCTCTGCCTATGTTGGTTTTCATAAGCTCGCCAAGCCCCCAGGACAGGTCTGCTTCGGGTCTATCAGTCCCTCCTTCTGCTGCCACCACACACGCTTCCACCCCTCTCCTGCTCACCTGCTCTTTTTTTTTTTAAGATTTTATTTACTTACATGACAGAAAGAGAGATCATAAGTAGGCAGAGAGGCAGGCAGAGAGAGAGGGGGAAGCAGGCTCCCTGCCAAGCAGAGAGCCCCATGCGGGGCTCCATCCCAGGACCCTGGGACCATGACCTGAGCCGAAGGCAGAGGCTTAACCTACTGAGCCACCCAGGCGCCCCTCACCTGCTCTTCTATCTACCCGCTAGACCCCACGCTCATGAAGCTCAGGAACTGTGCCAGACTTGTACACCCATCATGTGCACATATCTGGCACCTAGTAGACAAAGGGTGTGTTTGATGGGGTAAGACCTGGCCCCCCACCCGGGAGAAGCAAGCCCCATGCTGCGTGAACCTTGCCAGGAGAACGTGTCAGGGGAACAGCAAGGGCCAAACCAATCCAGAGACCTTGCTGGTGGCAGAGTTCCTCATCAACTTCCGCACACACAGGCTGGGAAAGAGGTCAGACTCCCTTGACGGGAAACTGGCTGTTGTCTTCCAATGCTTTCCCTCTCCCAACAACACAGCAGAATCGAAGTCCTCCCCCATGAAAACTCTCTTGGCCCCTCTTGCTGCTGAGTGTGGGGAACGCACCCAGTTCTGATCGAGTATCTCAGGGCTGCTCCCGCCCCCGCACTCCTCGCCCCTCCAACCTCTTGGGCTAAACTCAAGTTTGGTTAATAATCACTAACGTGCAGGGTCACTGAGGAGATTATATAACTTAATGTCCGTGGCCGGTACCCAGGAGGCACTCGGTGTGTTATCAGTCCTGCCACGTTGTCCTGCCCTGTCCTTAAGTGAAGTGGGAGGCAGGGCCAGACCAGAGTTGTTCTGATGTCTTGAGTAATAATGAAATACTGACATCTTGTGTTATAGAATAGTGGTTCTCCATCAGAAGCAACTTTGCTCGGGTTCACCTGGCAACATCTGAAGATGTTTTTAGTTGACACATCATGGGGAGAAGACAGGTACAACTGGTGTCTTAGTCAACACAGGCCAGGGATGTGGCCATAAACCCTATAATGCACAGGACAGACCCCTCTTACCCCCATCCCAACCAAGTAATTACAAATCCCAAAATGTTAGAGGAGTGTGAAGTCGAGAAACGCAGTTATAGGGTAAGAGAACTCAGAAGTCCTGACCATTGGTCCATGCTGCCCCCACCACTGCTTGAAAAACCCTGCTCTCTCTAGATTCAGGCATAAGGGGCCACAGTGGAGGCAGTCCTGTCCTCCAGCCTCTCACCTTCCTCTCCAAGTACACATACAAACCTTTGGATGCCAGTGGACAGGATGGCAGTGGAAGTCTTCAGTTCCTCGTACAGATCAGCGCCATTGCAGGGGAAGGCTGAGAATTGGGCCAGCAACACCCTTCTCAGGGCAACCAGGGCCTGCGGAAGGGGCAGGGGCAACTCAGGGTGGGGTCGGGGACGCTTCTCAGCAATGGCCGGCCAGAGGAGGGGGCATCCCAGGGTCTCATACGCTCCCCCACCCTACTTATCAACCTAGGGGAACCCTTGGCTCCTTTGGCTCGGGGGTGAGCATCTGGACTCACTCAGCTTTGGAGCGTGGAGATGGGCAGCTCACCTTGTAAGACAAGGCACATTTCTGGGCTACGTCCTCTAGGTCTGCGGAAACCAGGTCCACCACTGAAAACAAGACCCAAGCGGCTGACTGGTAGGTAGGGAGGCCCGGTCTTTCCACACTTGGCTTTTCGGCTACCTAAAGCGGAGTGACGGTTCTACCTCGGGACAGGACGTCCCAGGCGGTCTCAGTAAAAGCACAGAGACGTGGGGTCCTGGCGAGGCGCCCAGCACCTGCGTAGGGGTTCTGCCCTCCCCGGGGGGCTCGGATGGTCCTCCTCCCGCCTTCCCGCCTCTCCCGAGAGGTGCGGAACGGAGCGCGGAGGGGACGGCCCCGCCCGGGTCAGCCGGTGCGGGACACGCCCCGTCCGCGCTGGGCCCAGCTGGGTGGCGCGCACGCGGTCACCTGTCCTGATCCCGCGGGTCCTCAGTTGCCCGACCGTGTCCTGGGTGAGGCCCGGGCACAGCCCGGCCCTGAGCACGCCCATGTTCCCTGGGGGTCCCGGGGGCGCCGCGCTCGGGGATGCTTGTCCCGGGGGCATCCGCCGGGCTCTCGCCTCACGCCCCGTGGTGCCTCTTTCGGGAGCTGCCGCGGGGGGCGGTGCGGAGAGGGCGGCCCGCGCCGGTTCTCTGCGCCTCCGCCCCGCCGCGCTTCCGCCTTCCGGGCGCCAAAGACTGGCCTGCAGCGCTATCTGCTGGCCGCGTGGCGACAGGGCGGCTGGGGCGGAGCCGCGCGCAGGCCCGAGCCATGCCACCTCCCCAGCCCTTTCAAGCCGGCGTCCCCCAGCGCCCAGCTCCCGGCCCGCCTCGCCCGGCACCCGGCGCCCGCAGCCGCCTCCCCCCGCCTCCCCGGGCGCGCGCCGAGACCGTGTTGCGCGCCTCTCGGCGTACGCTTCTGTTCTAAACGCTGGGCGGCGGAGGTCGACCAGACGGAACATCTGTGCGCTGCGACGCCTACCTGTTAGGGACGAGGATAGAGAAGAGGAATCAAAGATACTGGGTAATTACAGATTGGATGGCAGGTGCTAAGAAGCAGCAGAGCGCAGAGAGGGCATCTGCGTCTCTATTTTCGAAGGAAAGAAACAACATTATTTTTTGGGTGATTGGCAACAACAAAAGCCCTGTTGATTTGGAACATAAAAAATATGATTTGGCATTTTTAGATGTCCTTTGCTTTGCCACGTCCTCTGTAGGACATAACACAACTTGGCAGGGTTACCTCCTCACGATCCAGCAAGGCTGGTGCTGGTTTGTCCCCATTTCACAGAGGCAGAAACTGAGGCTCCGCCAGGTGACGTCACTTGCCAGAGCTTACACAACCTGTCGGTGCAGAGCAGGACTTAGAGTGGACAAATCCACATCTGAACGCCCCGAAGTTGTATGTAGGTTTTCCTACAGTACGGTGGTTTTCTTGCACACAAAAAAATGTCTGGCCCATATTTGTGTTCCTCTGCGGCACCCACCGTTGTTACTCAACACATGAAAACACTTGGGGTAAGGATGTGGCACATTTTGAGTTCTAGCAGTAAAACCTGGCTGTATGTCGTCTGTGAACCCCATGAGCCATCTGGACTTTCCCTTTGCCTAGGACACAGTGGGGGTTTGCTGCCTAGGATTTGGGGATATAGAGCCTCAGCATCCTACAGACAAAGTCCTCCACTCCCAGAGACCCATTTCAGTCCCACTTGTTTCCCAGGGCCCCTGCGGCCTCCCACCACACCCAGGAGCCTTCTCTCACCACCCTGCTCCTCCTTCCCCGAGCAGCTCCCAGGGGCACGGGTGGTAAGCATTTTGAGATCTTCAGAGAGAGGCAGGGCTGCTGTTAACCACAGAGCATCAGAACTGGAAGGGGCCCAAGGGGTGCTGTAGTCTGTGCCTTATACCCCACTCCTGCCATTGGCTCTGGGCAGCAGCAGCTTCAGATCAAGGGGGAGGCGGGCCCCTAATTGTTACACTCAATGATGATTATGAAGTCAGCTCATTGCACCCCCATCCCACGCTAACTAAGGGTGGGTCCACTGCCCCCAGTTTCTCTCTACTTCCTGTCAGCTGTGTAGTGACGGCTGTGGTCCCAAACAAACAAGATGGCATCAGAGACGCTATGTAGAGTGGGAGATGGGGAAGAGGCCATGCTGAAGAAGGAAACCCTGAATGTTCTGAATGCACTCGATCAACTGTCGAAGCCCTTTCCAAACCCCAAGTCTATGAACAGGACCGTCACTACCAAAGGCCTCCCACTTTCCGCAAGGGGCAGTTTGGTTAACTTCTTGCAGGAAGATACCATCAGTCTATCGTAAGACAAAAGTCTGGTCCTTTCCTCCTTTCTAAGACCAGAGGGCAGGGGTGGGGAGAAGGGCTTGAGTTGGCCGCTTAACTGACTGAGCCACCCACGTGCCCCATGGTTTAGTTTTATGTGCACGTTCAGTATAGTAGGTAATATGTATTTACTTTGGGTCAAGGTAAAAAAAAAGATTTGAAAGCCAAACACTTTGGATTCTGTACTTTATCAGTAAATAAATAAATAATAAAATAAAAAAAATAAGGAAACACATACAAGGTTTTTCATTGTAATAGCCAAGAATTGGTAAAAATACAAATATCCATGTAATGAAAATGTACAGAAGTTACAATGACTGAACCAAAGCTACATGTGTCAGTACAAACAATGTTGGAGTGCCTGGCTGGTTCAGTCGCTGGAGTATGCGCCTCTTGGTCTCGGGGTTGTGGGTTCAAGCCCCATGTTGGGTGCAGAGATTACTTAAAAATAAAATCTTTTTAAAAAATAAATAAAATTTTAAAAATCAATGGAGTAAAAAAAAAAGCAAGCTGCTGGTCAATGAGTGATACCATTTATTTATATGAAGTTTTAAAATACGCAAAATAAGTCGATGTTGCTGAAGGATAGCAGACATTGCTCACAAACCTCTGGAGACACATGCATAATAATAAACACAAAACCTGAAATGTGCTGTACTGGTTACCGTGGAGTGGGTGGGTGTGGTCAGGTGGGGGACAGAAGTGTCCTGCGGGCTTTAGCTATGCTGGTAAGGTCTACTTCTGAAATTGGATGGTTGCTAAGTGGAAGCTTAATATCTCATTCTTTATTTTCTCACTTTATCATATATTCATTTTTTCCAGTTTTATTGAGATGCAGTTGGCATATAACATTGTATCCGTGGAAGGTGTATAACATGATTTGATGTGTGCGTGTGTGTGTGTGTGTGTGTGTGTGTGTGTGGTGAAGAGATTGCCCCAATAAGTTCCATTTCCATCTGTCACCACTCGTGGTGACAGATTTGCCTCTTGTGATAAGAACTTTTAAGATCCGCTCTTTTAGCAAGTTTCAAATACATAATAAAGTATTATTATTTTTTGAAGATTTCATTCATTTGTTTGACAAGAGAGAGAGCAAGCACAAGCAGGCGGGGTGGCAGGTAGAGGAAGAGGGAGAAGCAGGCTCCCCGCTGAGCAGGGAGCCCAATGTGGGACTCGATCCCAGGACCCTTGGATCATGACCTGAGTCAAAGGCAGACACTTAACCAACTGAGCCACCCAGGCACCCAACAATATAGTATTATTAATTATAGTTATTATACTGTATAGTATATTATACTGTATAGTATATTGTATTATACTGTATACTGTATACTGTATAGTGTATACTGTATAGTGCATATTTATTATACTGTATAGTGTATATACTCTATATTATACTGTATAATGTATATTATGCTGTATAGTTATTATACTATATAATGTATAGTTATACTGTATACAGTTATTATACTGTATACTATATAGTATATTATACTGTATAGTTATACTGTATGCTGTATAGTTATACTGTATAGTGTGTATACTGTAAACTGTATATATTATACTGTGTAGTGTATGTTATACTGTATATATTATACTGTACATAGTTATACTGTTATACTGCATAGTATAGTTATTATACTGTACACTATGGTATATATGTATACTGTATGTTATACTGTATAGCATACTGTACACTGTATAGTGTATTATAGTTATTATGCTGTATAGTTATTATACTGTATTATACTGTATAGTTATATATACTGTATAGTATGTTATATCTGCTAATATATTATTCTTGATTATCTTGTATATGTGTAAAATATTTCATAATTTAACAAAATTTGGATGGAAGGAAAAGTTTTTGAGTGTTTACCCCAATATGTGTAAATCTTACGTGTACTATTATTAATTTTACATGTTACATATTAATATTGTTAAATGTCACCATTTCTCATGGGGGTGCCTGGGTGGCTCAGTGGGTTAAGCCTGTGCCTTGGGCTCAGGTCCTGGGATCGAGCCCTGAATCGGGCTCTCTGCTCAGCAGGGAGCCTGCTTCTCTCCCTCCGCCTGCCTCTCTGCCTACTTGTGATCTCTGTCAAATAAATAAAATCTTTAAAAAAAAAATCTAAGTAAATAAATTAAAGATTTTATTTTTATTTATTTGTCAGAGAGAGCACACAGGCAGGCAGAATGGCAGGCAGAGAGGCAGAGGGAGAAGCAGGCTCCCCGCTGTGCAGGGAGCCCGATGTGGGACCCGATCCCAGGACACAGGGATCATGACCCCAGGTAAAGGCAGCCGCTCAACCGACTGAGCCACCCAGGCGTCCCCTAAGTAAATAAATTAGTAATTACTCTTAAACAGTAGAAGTAAATACAAGTAAAGTTTAATTATTTTTCTTTTAGATACTTTCAGTTATTTTTCCATACTCCCTTTAGACTGGCTTGGGACTTCCCCAGGGGTATGTACACCCCACTTTGGAAGGAGGACTTAAGGGTTGAGCACCATTTCTCAAATTGTGGTTCTCCGAATACAGGGCTCAGAATTTGTCTGAAGACCTTTATAAAGATATGTTAGCAGCTTCCCTAGTCCCATCCCAAAGTGGGGCAGGGACCGGGAATCTGCATTTTTTTCAGTAAGTGCCCTGGGGTGGTTGATGCCTTGCTACAGAGTGCAAAGGATGTTCTGAGTGGTTCAGAAGCAGCTGGGGATTTTGGCTAGCGGGGCACAAGGAGGGCCCTCGGGGAGCTTATTGGCTTTGCGGGCGGGGCGGTGGCGGCCTCCTGCGAGCTCAACTGTCTCCCTCCCACTCAGGAAGTCGATGCCAGTGGAGGACTCTGAATGCAGCTCTGACGACACCAGCATCTCCCCCATCTCATCCACCTTGCTGAATCCCATCAAACTGGCTGTGACCCAGCCCAACAGCAGCTTCTTCGCAGGGATGCTGGAGGGCGAGCTGAACAAACTCAGCTTCTCCTCGGTGGCCAAGGAGTTAGAAAATAGGGACCTGGCCCTCTGCCCCCACCAGTCAAAATCCCAAATCGCCCCTGGGGGCCTGCTGGACCTTGACAACCCTGAGCTGGACACTGACACCTCCTCGACCCCCTCAGAGTCCTCTATAGTCATGGACGTGCCAGAGGCCCCCTTCATCTGTGAACACACCGTCAGCGATTCCACAGCCGTGGTATGTTTCCCCCTCGGTGCGTTCGGCGCAGGCTCCCCAGCCGCCCCCATGTGCTAGGCGCTGAGCTGAGC